GCGTCGACCAAAAAGAGCCGGGGGGGGGGGGGCTTGGCAATCAGCACGGCTGCTGATGCAAGGAGACTGGCCGCATACGGGTCTTGCGCTAGCGCTGTGTTGGGTGCCAACGGATGATGCCGGAGACGGGGGGGGGGAAGAGCACATTTAACATCAGGATACGGTAATAAGGGCAAGTTACAGAAGCAAACACAGCTTAGTAAACAGCAGGGCTAAATTAGGTTTTTTATTTGGTGCTATGAAGAGTGGAGAATCATTCATAATAAACCACAATGTAGGCCAACCGCATCTCAAAGGATGATGATGCCCAAAAGGTTCACAAGTCAGGCAATGACAGAAGGACCTCAAAGGTCCTATCAGCTGACACCACCCCTGAGAGGTGGCTTTATTCACTGAAAGAGGGTCTGCCACCTTTCAAGATGCTCTGTTCCATGTGTTGAGCACCCAGGTTCTGGAAGTGGAGAGTTCTATAAGCAGTGGTCCCCAACCTTGGGCCTCCAGATGTTCTTAGACTACAACCCCCAGAAGCCTTCACCACCACTTGTGGTGGCCAGGATTTCTGGGAGTTGAAGTCCAAGGATATCTGGAGGCCCAAGGTTGGGGACCACTCCTATAAGGGAACAAAACTAACCCTGGGCAATGTTCTGAAGTTGTATAGACCAAGTTCACATCATTATTTTGGCATCTAAGATGAGTTCATTGGGGGATTCCTCCTTCTTCTACAGCCCTCCGTGCACCCAAACCTCCTCCTGTTGGTTTCTCAGCTCCTTCCAGAGCAGGAATTTAAGACGCAGGAGGGCACTAGCTAATTCTGGATCTCAGAGATCCTGGTCTTTAAATGGAGCGCCGTGTCCATGAAAACTCAATTAATTCTTCAGACGAGTTTTGGCTGCCCGCTGCCATCAAGATCAAACCAGACCTTTCCTCTCCGAGTCAAAGAGTCCTGTTTCAGCCTGGTAGCTCATGGAGAGAGCAATTAGTATCTCTAATTGCGAAAACATTTAATCACATTTGAGTCCAAAGCTTGACCTTGCAGGGCGACCACAGGCTAAGGAAAGATTGGTGCAGCTTCGAAGCAGTGACCGGAGGGGTCAGGAAAAGCAACTTCTGTTACTGTTCTCGAAAACCACTCTTTTCAGAAAGCTCTGTGGACAGATTTGAATGATTAGTCCCTGGCACCCTCGGTGCATTCTCGGTTTCAGAAGGCTGGAATAAACACCAGGTCTTTGTGTCTTTTCAAGGGAAAAGATGAGTCGGAAGGAGAGAGAGAGGCGACGTAAAAGACCACAGCCAATTTTTCCTGGAGGAGCTAAGCTAGAAAGGAAAGACGTCTCCCTCAAGATCCTATTTTGAGCAAGGCTATCCAGCCACCGTAAAAGCTGGATGTTCCAGGAGGTTGGTACAGGCTCTCCAGCACCCGGGAGAGCTCCTGGAGAAGGCTGACATTGATCCGACCATGTCAACGAAGCTCAAGGGAGGCCTCGTGACTCCCGCCAGAGAATGGCAGGAATCCCAGCTCAAACAGTGGAGTTCCAAGAAGCAGAAAGGTGTGTTTGGATTGCAGTCATCATGCCTGAGGGTGCTATGAAGGAGCTCCCCATTAGATCTGCTGCCTTTAACATTGTCAGTAGGAAGGTGGCCTGCCTCTGATGGTCAATATCTGTGCACACTGCTTTTCCCCAGTAGCCGGGATCTGCCCTTCCAATCCAGCAACTATCCCTCTGAATAGTCAGTGGGGTGCAGTGGTTAGGGTGCTAGTCTTGGACTTATCAGTTTCTGAGCCATGAAATGGTCAGGAAATGCTGCCGAATCATAGAAGAATTGTGCAATGAGGGAGTTGGAAGGGGCTTCTAAGCCATCAAGTCCAACCTCCTGCTCAGGGCAGGAATCCAGATCAAAGCAGATCAGACATTTTGTCATTTTCTCTTGAAGGCCTCCCATGTTGAAGGGCTCACCCCCTCTTGAGGTCATGGGTTCCATACTGTTGTACTGCTCTAACAGTTAGGAAGGCTGTGTCATGTTGGAGGCCTCCCATGTTGGAGGGCTCACCCCCTCCCCTTGAGGTCATGGGTTCCATAATATCGTACTGCTCTAACAGTTAGGAAGTTTTTCCTGCTATTCAGCCCAAATCCGGATTCCTGTCATCTGAGCCCAATCAACCTGACCTCCTTCCTGGATATGGTGGGGATACAGGGCAGAGGAATAAATCCAGGCACACCATCTTGTGCTTACTGGAGAAATGAGGGAGTAGAAATATGACAAAGAATTGAAACAAAGATAAATAAAAACACAACCCCCTTCGGAGTCCAGTGGATTCAGATACTATGAGAACTTCCACCTTTTAGAGTAGGCATCCTTCAGTCTCGAGAGACTACGGTAATGTGCTCTGAATGGAGGACTTGGAACAGCGTTTAGTGTGGCTGAGAAGGCCAATTCGAGAGTGACCATCCCTTCCACACCAAAGACAAATACAATACTGCTCCCCAATTTTGCTTGTTTCGGGACGGCCTCTCGGCCTCGGCCTGCTGGACAAGGAGCTCTTCAAATTGGGAGAGGCCATGATGCACCACCTGCCTCCAGGCTGAACGCTCAGATGTCAAAATTTCCCATCTGTTGAGGTCCATTCCTAAGACCTTCAGATCCCGCTTGCAGATGTCCTTGTATTGCAGCTGTGGTTTCCTTCTGGGGCGATTTCTGTGCACATGTTCTCCATACAGTAGATCTTTTGGAATCCACGTTCTCCTTACAGTAGATCTTTTGAAATCCGGCCATCAACCATTCTCACAACATGCCAAGCCAACGTACTTCCACTTTATAGGGCAATTCAATCCCCAAAGCATTAGGTTCTTTTTTTCAATAATTTAGATTTTTCAGGAAAATTCTTCTCCCCCAATGAAGGGAAGGACATAGCAGCAAGACACAATGAATCTTAGTTTTAAACTAATACTTTGCTTATTATCTTTTTTCCAAAGGCTACTCTGTCCTGTTTTTAATCTTTGCCTTCATGTCTCACTTGTACCATGAGTCATTATGGATGATTTATGCTCCGTCCATCAAGAGGTAATGGACAACTCATAGCAATTCAGATATAAAGTGCTGTCTCTATTGAATGCCGTACTTAATTTTTTTTAAAAAAGAAAAATATATAATTAAGTTTGGTTAAAGTGAAGTTGCAAATGTACATAAAAATATAACCAGTTCTGATCAGTTTGAAATGGGCAACGAGGCAGAAACAGAGGGGGAGAATTTGGGCAAAGCTCCCCTCCCACCATGTGCGTATTCTTCTTCTTCTTTTTTAAATGTTAGTTTGAGTATGTTGAGCTTAAGCCTCGGAAATCGGAGATGTGCCCTGGGTCCTTTTCATGAGGTCATACAGAACATGTTCTCACAGAGTGGAAGGAAACAGCCTTGATGCTCGGGCGTCATGGCGACGGGAGATGAGATGAGCAGCCACTGCGATGGGACAAAGGGTTTGCTTGTCCTGTTTTGCCACGGAGTGATGGGGGGACAGATTACCCATGGTCCCTGCCTGTTATCACTTCTGGTTTTCAGATGGGTTTTTTTTGGGGGGGGGGACTAGGGGCCAGTTCCTGAAACCAGGAGGGCCGCCGGTCAATCCATATTGTATATTAGTCCCCCTTCTAGAGTCCTGCGTCCAGTTCTGGACACTGCACACCAAGAAGGATGCTGACAAATCGGAACAAGTTCAGCGGAGGCCGACAAAGAGGATCAGGGGGCTGGAAAGCAAGCCCTCGGAGGAAAGACTGAAAGAAGAACTGGGCATGTTTAGCCTTGAGACAAGAAGACGGGGGGGGGGAGATAGGAGAGCCCTTTTCAAAGACTTAAAAGGTGGTCCTACAGAGGAGGGGTAGGATCTGTTCTCGAACATCCCAGAGTGTAGGGCACATAATAATGGGCTCAAGCAACAGGAAGCCAAATTTCAGCTGAATATGTCAGGAAAAACATCTCTGCTGTTAAAGAAGTATGACAATGACCTCGGGAGGTGCTGAGCGCTCCAACACTGGAGGCAAAGAAGAGAAAATTGGACAAACATCTTTCAGATCTGCCTTGTTTTGGATTCCTGGACTGAGCAGGATTAAGTTTTTGTTCAACTTTTCAGGACATTTTAAGATTTGGCCCTCTATGTTTTTTTAAAGAAACAACATCTCTACTGTTAAAGAAGTATGACAATGACCTCGGAAGGTGCTGAGCGCTCCAACACTGGAGGCAAAGAAGAGAAAATTAGACAAACATCTTTCAGATCTGCCTTGTTTTGGATTCCTGGACTGAGCAGGATTAAGTTTTTGTTCAACTTTTCAGGACATTTTAAGATTTGGCCCTCTATGTTTTTTTAAAGAAACAAACAAACAAATACCCCTTCTTGCATCTTAAAATGAGGCCTGATTCATTCTATCCTCCTCGATGCTTGGCTGGGCGCCATTTCCTCTTTATGGAAAGCCATTTTGTTAGCATCATCAACTCCTCTCAGAGCTCATTAGCAGCCAATTAAAATGGCAGCGAGGTGGATGATGGAGCACCATGCGTCATTGTATCAGCTGGAAGAGCTACTGACCTTATGATTTATGGCCTCAGCGCCACCCAAAAGACACATACATAGTCAGCATGTAAGGTCTACTCTCCAAAACATCGTAAGTCAAAAACAAAGCCTAACAAAGGCAGGAGGCATACAACTGTGGAGTGAGCGATCAGACAGACGGTGTGAAGAGATGACATGCAAAACAGATTTTCTGTGAATATAGAATCAGACATCTGGCACATTATATCAGGAAATATCCTTTCCGGAGCTCAGAGGACGTCACTCTCAGCTTTCTGTTTGAGAAGCAAAGCAGACATTCACGGCAAGCATGGAATGACTGGTGGATTCTTCAGAAAGAGGCAAAAAAACCCATCCAGGGCTTCATATTTTTCAAAGTCCATAAAGCTCAGCAGCAGTGGTGGGTTTTGTGCAATTTGTGTGACTTGTGCAAAAAAAAACACAATGCATTATTGTCAATGGGGAAAAAAAACCATAGAGACTAATAGAAAATATCTGAAACCTTGCAGGGATGGAGAAAAATCTTGTGCCTTTTTGTTGCTGCATGCAGAAAAAAGGCAAATGTGGGGTTTTCCCCCTCTAATTAGGATAGAAGAAAATGACTAGACATGATGAGATTTACAGAGCCTTATGGGAAATCAGACCATCTCAGATCAGAAATGACCCAACACCAAGGCGTATGACAAAGGGCATGATGGCAAGATGAAACGTCTATCCTCAGAGCCTGAACAGCATTAGACTGCCAGCTGAACCCTCCTTCAATGGGGAACCATCCTTTCAACACCTCCAAAGGAAGCAAGCTAAACATGGTACGTGGCACAACCCAAGATAGATGGCCCTCACAGCACTGCTCTGCAAAAGAGATGAACCATCCAGGGCTCAGACAGAAGAGCAGCTACTACCTCGGCCACTGCCTAAAGGCAGGGCCCGCTCTGCCCACCCCTGGCAAACGTTTGACTACGACACCTGAAAAAACTGGGCTGTTCCGATGCAAGGGTGGAAGAGGGAAATCCAAGCACAGAACTTACATGATGGACCATCCAAGGTAGATGATGGTACTGCCCCAGTACATAGGATTGTCCAGCACGTTGAATGGGAAACAAGTCACCTTTGCCTCCATGAGGATGCCAAAGTAGTCACCTGGAATGAGAACAGACACACACCAAGGATTAAGGCCGGCCTGAGGCTACTCCTGTCCGGTCAGACATCTAGAGCATGAAGAGAGCCCTTCGGTTTTTTGACCGTCCACTGCCAAAGTCTTGTGCTAGTTGGGGAATCTGGGAGCCACATTCCTAAAAAAATGATTGTTTCATGCAAAGTTCACATTGCCGCCTGTCACTTCTCCTCCAGATCACCGTCTCTTGCAGGTAAACCGCAGGTAAGTCAACGGGAATCAACCAAGTAGCTACCTACATAGCGCCACCCCTAACCTGCATCACTCCACCCAGGTTATATTTCCTATTCATGTTCTAACGAGACACCCAGAAGCGACTGCTAATATATACATACTGACAGGTCTGACAAGAACCTGAGTAGAATTGTCAATACGGTTTTGTGGAACTATATGTAAGAACTTATACATACTGTAAGTATTTGTAAGAATTACTGTAAAGAAATACTGTAAAATACTGATTTTGACAGCTGTGAAGGATCAAGATATGCAGTAAAACTTGTAACAGCTGTGTAAGGAAACCAACGATTGGCTGAAGGTGGAATAAAGCCAGCAGTTCCAGGGTTCAACCTTGTGGCGTGGGTCGGAGGAGTAAGGTTGACAGATGGATGTAACAAGGACAAAGATTTACTGGACTGACTTGTGGACTGAACCTATTGATATTGTTGTGTTTGACCAAAGGACTGAATAAGGACTACGCTGTATGTATGAATCTTGCTGCAAACTTGATTTCAATATAATCTTTCTACAATTAATATTGTCTCTTTGCTTGATAACTCACCGAGCAACTGGACTGACTTGTGGACTGAACCTATTGATATTGCCGTGCTTGACCAAAGGACTGAATAAGGACTACAGTGGACCCTTGACTTACAGATTGTTGTGTTTGACCAAAGGACTGAATAAGGACTACGCTGTATGTATGAATCTTGCTGCAAACTTGATTTCAATATAATCTTTCTACAATTAATATTGTCTCTTTGCTTGATAACTCACCGAGCAACTTCGTTCTCTGGGAAAAGTACTGGCTGGCACCCTTGCCATGCTACCAACACTGTCATATCTAGACTGGGAATGGGGGTGCCCTTCTAAAAAAGACCCCCCCCCCAATTCAGGGCTCAGGAATTCTGGCTGGGGTGTGCTTCTAAAAAAGACCCCCCCAATTCAGGGCTCAGGAATTCTGGCTAGTTTTGCTCTGATATTTAACATTCTGCTTCCTGTGGCCAGTTTGCTGAGTCCGGCTTCCCCTTTATAGGCAAATCTGGAATACTGCTTTATTTTGATTTCTGAGGAGTGGGTTAAAAGAAGCCCATGTGAGTACCGGCTTATACCTGGGGAACGCTAGTTATCGACTATCCTACGAGGAAGATGTCTGTCCACCCTAAACCTGGTCAAGTTTCTCAAGCTGCACCCCGTGTTTCCTGCACCCCAACCTTGCCTGCCATTATTTCATCTGGCACAGTTTTTCAGAGAATCGGCTGCTTTCTGTGTTGCACCAAAGGAGGCCATGACTATAAGGAAAATGACTAGAAATGTGGGCATACGTTAAAACTAGGAGTATAAGCATAGGAGAGATTTATTACCTGCCACACGGCTCAAGTCAGAGGGGGGTTTTGCCTAGACATTAATCCTTCCTTTCTGGAAACCTGGGGGAGTCCTTAAAAATCTCCATTTCCTACCCTCTGGTGTGTCTGTGATAGGTTTTTTTTTATGCTCAACATGAGTCTTAGCCATGGCAATAATGGAAATGACTGCGATGATTTTTTTAAAAAATGTAATTACGTGACTCCAAGGAGCAAATTGCGACCTGGTCGTGTCTCCTGCAACTCTGCTCTCCTGCCCTGCTTGAAAATGGATGTGTGGGCTCAGGCGGCGTTGGAACGCGGAGAAATGGCATCACAACCCATTCAAGGCGAACTGTCATGGAAATCGCTCTCTGCCTAATGTCACTGGCCTCTTTAACTACACCAGAGCAAAGCAGAGCAGGGTGGGTGGAGGGGCAAGCTGGCTTAGCATGAAACACAGGCTCGTGAGCTGGAGGCCTGGGTGTACCTCAATGCTAGAGCCATCAGGTACCCCATTAAGCTGCCACGGATCCGTCTCCCACAAAATTGTGGGATCTGTAGTTTGGCAAGGGGTTTCGGATCCTCTGCTGTAGTTCTCAGTGCCTCACCAATTGCTAAGCCCAGGTCTCCACTGAATGGAGCCATGACACGCGAAGAGGCATCAGACTGATCTTGTTGCGCGGTGTAGACACGCTCTTTGAGAAGCCCAATGGGTTTGCCCCCACTGATGGCAGTAAACCGCAGCCTTCTCTGCCTTATGAGTTGAATCCAGTCCTCTGAGAAGCCGATTCCCCCCATCTTTTTCTCTCCAAAAGGGATCCCCTTCTGGTCTGGAAATGCATTTCCCACCCAGTCAACATTTCCAGAAGTGTTGGTTCAGAGCATGTTCCTGCCCCTCCCTTCCTCCTGATGTGGATCTAAATGCCAAGTTCCTTTCCTCATTTTGGGCTTCCAACACCCAGATGTGACACTGATGTCTTGAGACAACTTTTGCATTGCTTTGGTCTTAGATTTTGGGCACACATGTGCATGCGGTTTGCCGTATTTCTTTTCCTCTTATACCATCATTAGGAACAGCTATTTCCTTTTAAATAGCAATGCTTAAGTCCATGTTGATAAAACACGACATGGGGATGGGGAAGCTGAGTTGATGTGATCACACCTACGGCTGGGGGTCAGTACCAGTGTGAGCAGCAGACCACTGTGTAGGTCAAGAAGACTTTGATTTTCTAAAATAAAATCATTGCTATTATCATCGGCAAGGCAATGTTTTATAGGGGATCTCCGTAACCTCGAAGAATGGAGGTGAATGTTGCAAACATCTAGACCTGTGATTCCTAACCTTTGGTCCCCAGATGTTCTTGGACTACAACTCCCAGAAGCCTTCACCGCTCACTGTGCTGGCCAAGATTTCTGGGAGTTGTAGTCCAAGAACATCTGGGGACTCAAGGTAGGCAACGACTGACCTGGAATAAAAGAAGGGCCAATGGCACCTATTCCAGCTCTAGAGTCAGTTCTGGACATTATCCTCATGAAACCAAAATTTGTTTTTGTTAAGCAAGCAAGCAGAAAAAGCCGTGAAGCAAGAAAGGTACAGAATAATCAGAGTGGGTGGGTGGGAAATTCTCTGCAGATAGAGATTTTGGAATTGCTGTTGTTGAAGTGCAGAATTACTAGAGATGTCATTTTTCTGCTGCTGCCTGGAAGATTCTGGGAGGCCAAAAAAAAAAAAAAAAGTAAATGTTCCAGATACGGGAGGGTAGAGAGGCCCATAAAACTCAATGGAGGTCCAGTCTGACCATTTCTGCAGCTGTTGCCCAGACTTGAAAACCCGGCCAGATCTTTCACAGGCCAGGTCAAGCCACCGTTTTCAGGTGGACAGCCCCACAGAAATCCCCCCGAAAGAATTTCTGCACCAACGTGGAGCAAACAGCGGCGCAGTGGCTCTGGAGGCATTTCAGCCACGACGTGCCCCTCCGAGCCGACCCACCCAAGTGTGTGTGAGTCAGCCGGCTGCTCTCAGAGATTGCCAGGCAACCGGAAAAAAAATGAGAATTTTCAACAGGCAAAACTTTTCTGCCATGTCATTACATCGCACTTAACAATCACTTGGAGGGGATAAAAATCAAGATAAGGGTCATTCATTTCTAGATGTTCAAACGGAGCCATTTTTGGGGAGCACGACAGGAGTTTGTCAGAAATGGCAGATCTGACCTAGGAAGTAATGCTTAATAAATTATAGCGTTTTATTCTCTCCACGGTGGCCGTTCGCTTGGGATCTTGAAGCACTTTGCTAATGTCAATTAATGTTCTTGCTCCGCGTTGTAATGAAGTGTCAGCTTGATGGAAAGGGGGTGGTGGTGAAGGAGGCAGAAAAACAAAATTGGGTCATGTTTTATGTGACTCACCCCTCAACCTTCATTTTGATAAGCCTTTTCATGCCGAAAAGCTCTTTAGAAACCTCAAGAACCTCTTATTGTATCCATACAGTAGCTCCCGGGTGGCTGTTCATTTATGTTCCCATGTATTGTCTGAAAGGGTGTGATTGGGGTTTTTATAAAACTCCACTTCAATCAGAAAGGCTTAAACCGATTTACAGTCAGGGAGCAGTTCTCCTTTGAAGTTGCGTACTCAAAATCGAGAAGGTCGAACGAGGTCCTTTGGGTGATCGCTGGTTGCTGAAGGACAAGTTAGCAAAGTTAAATGCTTTGGGCTGTGGCTGGCATGTGCTGCTCTGTTATTTCCTCTTCGTAGCAACCCAGGTAGAGTTTTCAAAGTACAAGAGACGTTCAACTAGTGGTTTAGCATTGTTGCATCCTCAGAGAATTTCTATGTCTGTGCAGTGATTCGAACCCAGATCTCTCCCATCCTCTTCCAACACCGACTCTTCTTTTGGATTGCAACTCCAGACAAGCCACGGCACTGGCCATACTGGCCGGAGATCCTGGAATATTTCACTCAGGAGAATAACTCACTCTGCCCTCAATTAATAGTCAGTGAGGTTGTCAGTGTGAGGACGTGGGAAGCTCCTTAAGCTATGAATGGTGGCCTCCCCGAAAATGTGCCAGAAGGAATTGCTCGGCTGCTGAGATATGTCTGGACACAGGAAGCAGATGATTAAGTAAACACAACTGCAAGGGGAACAGACAGATCAAGAGGGGATGCAATGAAGGAATGGGAAAAAGTGAAACAGCATCAATAAACCTGCCTCCTCATTGAGGTCTCTCCCCTTGGCTTGGGCTGTTTCTCCTGACCTTTTTGTGTACTTTGTATGCTCAGAATACTTGCAGTCTGCCATGGTTGGTTTTTTACTGCTGCATGATGATGCATTTTTCTCCTGCAGAATCAGAAGATTTGTAACTTCCCTGAACCAAGAATACGAGAAACTCAGATCCCCATTACCGCTACTAAATAAGCAATATACGGGGAGCATAGGATCTGTGTTTCCTCTGGCTCCCAACTCCTTCTGGGAGGCAGAGGAAACCTGAAAACCCATCACCCCCAGCCGAGATATTAACATCCTTGAACATCATAGCCAGTTGAGAAGAACTTGCCGAGGCCGTTCCGTTTGCTAATAATTTCCTTTCTCCATCCTGTAAAGTTGTGGGATCCAGTTTTAATAAGGAATCTTGGAGTGGGAGGGGGGTTGAGATAGTCACAGACGATCTAAATTGGACCAGCGTCAGGGTAGCAATAGTCAGAGGGAAAGAAAACTTCTGTTTTTTTCCCCTCCTGTTTGAGAAAAACAAGCACTACCAACGTGAACAGTTCAGTTCTTTTTTTCAAAGCACTGACGCCAAGCCTGCAGACTGCCAGGGGCTGCATAATGTTTGGCTGGTGACATTTTGCTCACCACGGAGGTATCATTATTCAGTTTTGATGCAGGAAAATCACCCTTTTCATCTCTGATATATCACTGGCTTTCACTTACTCTGCATGCCTATAGATGCACATTTCATAAAGGCCTTTTCTCCGCTCGCCTCCTTCACCTATGAATTGAACAGCCAGTCCCTGTTATTTTCTGCTGAAGTCCAGACGTAAAGCTAAAGTGTTTGACGCCAGATTTTGTTGGGTTCTTTTTTTGGGGGGGGCGGGTGGGAATAAATAGATCAACAAACAAAGCATGGCCAGCTAGCGGCTTAGCTTTGCGTCTTTCAAAAATTGCAGGTAGCTGCATGGATCCATTAGAAGGGCTTAAGAATTTAAAGGCGTGGGAAGGAAAATAGCTTTTATTTAGCCCGAGGAAGGCGGTCACAGAGACATGAACAGGCTTTAGCGTTGGTCCTGCCTTGCCATCGGTCTGAAAACTAAGCCAACAGTCAACCAGCCGAACAGACAGGCGGGAGAGAAAAATACAAGATGTTCTGAAACATACGTGGCTGCTATCGGTTCTAATCTTCTTAGGTTGAATTAGACCAAGTTCCCCTGCTGAAAATGGATTCTGACAACCGTTATTTGCCCCACAAGAACGACAGAAACACACAGCAAGGCAACTCCTTCCTTCTTATTTACCAACAAATAACAAAATATAGTAGTAGTAACAACAACAACAACCCCATGGGACCCTTTGAATCACTGAGTCCCTTCCCTCTCAAAGAGGCAGACCTAAACCGCTTTCCCAGAGTTCCGGCTGGATACGATATATGATACAAATCCATTCTCTCTTTGTTCCAAATTTTGAAAAGGCACTTCTCATCCAGCCGGTGGACTTCAACCAAGTCCATACAAACAGCAGTAGGGTGAGTGGCCACGCTAGTTAGGAGATTCTTGGGAGCAGTGACCGAAAGCAGTTGCTCTGAGTTGGGCGTCGCTGGCAGTCTTATGGGGTTTCTGTTTCCATTTGGGCAATAAACCCCAGTTTTCGAACACCTTGGTACTACCCCCGGTTTTTCCTCAAAGAAATGGAGGTACACCAAGAATCTTAGCCACTTGGGTGGGTTGAGGGAGGCCGGAGTGTTAAAAAAATGGCCCCATTAAATCCCCCCACGAATCCTAGAAGTGTCCAGGATTATACTTCCATTTTGCTTATTCGTTTAAATTGTATTATATGGAACGATACAGAGACAGTTTGCCTTTTTTGGAGTCGGATGTGAAAAAAAAAGAGAGAAGGCGAGGAGCAAAACCCATGGCTGCCCTTTATTTTTGTTGTTGTTTAGTGGTTAAGTCATGTCCGACTCTTCGTGACCCCATGGACCAGAGCATGCCAGGCCCTCCTGTCTTCCACTGCCTCCCGGAGTTGGGTCAAATTCATGTTGGTCGCTTTGATGACCCTGTCCAACCATCTCATACTCTGTCGTCCCCTTCTCCTCTTGCCCTCACACTTTCCCAACATCAGCGTCTTTTCCAGGGAGTCTTCTCTTCTCATGAGATGGCCAAAGTATTGGAGCCTCAGCTTCAAGATCTTTTCTTCCAGGGAGCACTCAGGGTTGGTTTCCTTCAGAACAGATAGGTTTGTTCTCCTTGCAGTCCAGGGGACTCTCAAGAGCCTCCTCCAGCACCACAATTGAAAAGCCCTTTATTTACCCTGATGCAAACTTTCCTGAGGCTTCCAACCTCTCCATTAAGCAGCTTGCTGAGACTTCGCTTTTCCCCCTTCTGTTTTGCTAATAAATTGAATGACAGAAAGAGCAAGGCCAAATCTGGCAAAGTCGTCGTGACATGAAAACTTGAGAGCTGTCATTGTCATCATCCTCATTTCCCAAAGCAAATGATTATAATGGCAGCAATAAAACACCCTAAAAGGCACAGACTCGCTCCCTCTCACACACATATGCATCTGCTCACGCTCAACTTTCCTTCCATGAAAACTTCATTACTTCCCAGAAGGCGAGACCAAAAACAGGGCAAGCTTTTCAGAGAAAAACTAGGCGTGGAAAAAGAAGTCCAGAGACTCGTGAGCCTGCTTGCAGATGGCCCGCGGGTCAGGAGAAGACAGGAGAGCGACCCTCCTTCCTTCATCGTCACACACACACCACAAAATGAGTCAGCACATCAGGAACAAAACAGGTCTCCATGAACTCAAAAACAAAAATACTAGCAGATGAAAAGCGCAAAGAGGTGATACCTTTACAGACCACCAAAAATCATCACATGATACGCACACTTTCTGGGATAAAGAAACCCTTCATCAGGCTTGTATCACTTTGAAGAAATTAAAGTTTGTGGCACGATAGGATTTCGCCAGGCACATCTTTCTCAAGGTGTAATTCAGGAGAGGTGCAGGAAGCAGTGGTTGCTGTCTTAAGGTTGCAGCGGAGGCAGCTGTGGACCGGACGTCACGCCCCAGTTCTTCAAACAAAGAAGCACGGGCCATGCGCACGCACATGCACTTCGCCTCTTGGAACGAAATCAGGTAGGAACGGAGTAATTGCTCAGGAAGAAAGATCCGTTACATGCAACTCCAACCTCTTAGTTTACATTTAAGTATACCTCCCACGCCCCCCCCCAAAAATGCCTAGCATGCACTGGGGCGATTTCATTGCACTATTCCAAATGAGAATACCCAGAAGAAACCCAACTTCCTCATTCTAGCTAATTTCTCTATTGTTTTGGACTTTCATTCCTGGAAGACCCAGTAAGGGAGTCTAGGAGTTGATGTGCAAACACAGCTGGATGACCTGAAGTTGCTGTTCTAGCTCTTCATCCAGAGGTGCCTGCGATCTCTGCTCCCCGCAGCACAAAGGGGGAGGAACCCTTGTGAATAAATACGTCCGCATATTTTACGGCATTCACATCTTTCCGCACCAGAGGGGCCAATGCGTCTCTCCCATTTCTTCAACAGCAAACGTTGCATTTTTGAACGTTCCATGCCGAGGAGGGGCCCAAGAGAAGGCCAAGTCTCCCTCAAAGCTTCCGTCCCATCTTTTGCTCTTCCTGACTCTCACCTGTTTTGCATCCTGGCGGAAATGACAACGCACGGCAAGTCCTCCGTGCGCGGCATCAATGAATCAGCCATCCCTTCCATGAACAATCGGGAGACTCCGCCAGGCCCCTGAGGAGAGCGTCACTGTTCTTGCTTTTCATCAAGCAATCATGCACTCTGAAACGGGGACGGTGGGATGATGCAGCAATTTCCCTCCTCTTTCCCATTTTTCTCCGGATTTTCCTTTTCTCGTTTTGAAAACGAATCAAGAACGGCCAGAATCAGCAGATGATAAAACAGAGGTCCAAAACCCTAACCCTTGCCCTTTCTATTTTTATTTATAGGGCACCCTTATTCTGGGCCTGCCAAGTTTCGGAACCATGTGAACAATGTCCCTCTTTGGGGGGAAAAGGGTGTGTGTGTGTTTCCACACCTTGAGAAGTTTAAAAACCTGACTTTGAGACAGAGCAGGAAAAAAGGTAGAAGGAGAAAAACAGAAGAGAGCTGATGGACTGGAAGGGGTTTTGCATCCGGGAATTTGGGTGACCCTCTTAAGGAAAAGGCAGAAACTTCTCAGTTTGAGAGTAAAGGAAAATGAGATGGATGAATAATTTTGTAAGAAGATTTGGATGTTAAATGGCAAGCAAACCTCTTTGTTGCCATGCAAACATCAGGGTGTTTGCATGGTATCTAGAAAATAAAAAATATATATTCTCCACCTCCCCGCCCTCCCCCATCGTCCTTCGCTTTGAGAATCAAGGAGCTGAGAAGCAGATTTTGAATGATCTAGGTGAATAAATAAACAAGCAAACGGATGCATTTCCCCGGTTACACAGTTTTCACTCTCCGAATAACTCACATTTTATCTCGATTACAGGTCGTGTCTTCTCCCAAAATAGTTTTGATGTGTCTCTGCCTGAAGGGCTTAGTAATTTAAGACACTGAAAATGCCAGGAAAAGAGGTGGTTAAGTGGGGGGGAGGGATCCCGAAAAAGGGAAGCAGTAACTCTTTGGTCTGTGCAGGCACTTCTGGGTGTGCAAACCCAGGAGACGCCAGTTCTTCGCCTCCAGGGCGCCCTCTAGGCTGCACTACCACGGTGCGCGAGCATTCCATCAGCTGACCTTGCCAAGGGCCAATCCTGTATAAAGACCAGATCGTATAAAGCCCTTGCTGCTCCTCAACTCTTCTGTGGGGACTCGATTACCTGGAATTCATCCCATGCTCAGGTCTGACCGCTACGTCTGCATTACACAGTTACATCAGGTTGATACCGCTTCCACAAAGGAATCCTCGAGTTTGTTGTTGATTGTCTTAATCCTCCGCTAGAATGGTCTAGTTTCCTCCCACAAACCACAGCACATTGTTTCAAGACCCAGCCCAAGTGACAAATCCATGGATTCTGTAAGGACGGAGCCATGTCACTTAACGTGGTATCGAACTGATCCAACTGGCAAGTGCAGACACAGCTCTCGACCGGCACGAGGCCTGCATCCAACAAGAGGAGGATGGGTGCCTTACCCAAGAATGTTCCAACGAAGCCCAGCACCAGGAAGCTGGAGACCACGAACACGGTGCCTACAACCACGAAGGCTACGCCGATGTAGTAGCCCACCAGGCAATCCAGGACATTTAGTCTGGGTTGACTCCTCATCGCTTCGGTGAAACTGAATCGGAAGGAAAGGAAAGAAGCTGATTCAGGTGCCCCATCCAAATTGTCCCGTAGAGTGCTGGTTGATTACATTGTGTGCCCCACCCACTCTACAGTAGAGGTAGACCAGGCCTGGAAGAAAGGTGGTCATCTACCCATTCTAGAGTCTTCCTTCCTTCCTTCCTTCCTTCCTTCCTTCCTTCCAAAGGTGGTCATCTACCCATTCTAGGGCCTTCCTTCCTTCAAAAGGTGGTCATCTACCCATTCTAGGGCCTTCCTTCCTTCAAAAGGTGGTCATCTACCCATTCTAGAGTCTCCCCTCCCTCCCTCCCTCCCTCCAATTGTTCATTCATTTATTTGCCTGTTATTCATTCCTTAGAGCTTATATTTTAACAGCAATATGGCCAGCCAAGAGAATCTAGTCTTGTCCAGGCCTGGAATAGCTGCAGTTTGGATTTGGACCAGTGCACATTTAGACGGACTTCTTAGTCACATACATATCCACCTTTCTTCCAAGAAGCACAAGCAGGAATACCCGACTCTTCTCCTCTTCCACAACAGCCCTCTGACGCACGCCAGGCTCGGAGCGTGTAGCCCTATGTCCCCAGTGAGCTTTTCACCTGACTGAGGATGTGAAACCCAGGTTCCTTTAGCGCTAGTTCTGCACTCTAGCAATGATGGCAAAATAAAACAAAATGCATACATTTCTTTGTACTGGCCACAGAAAAACCAACTCAGGAGTTTAAGAAATCTGTATGCAGGGGACAGTGAAACTGCTGGAAACATCCCGCTCCCCTTGGAGCTGACTGAATAACAGCCTGGCCTTGGCATTTAATCAAGTGCAGAAGTAAAGCTAACATTAGGACATGTACCACTTAAATTCACGCAGTGAAAGAAAATCCGCAGGAGGCTTCACAACTACGAAAGCTAAGCCCCACATCCTGGGGCCACGATGACCTATCCAGATGCCCAGCGCCCCGAAAGAGGAGTCCATAAATTAATTAATTAATTAATTAAAGGGGGGGGCATGGATTTGCATAAAATCAGCACAGAAGGCGAATCACAAGTGCTCTCGATAATTTGTGCATCTCATTCGAGCCGGAGGAAAGAGAGGATGGGGTGAACTGGGCATCTGCTATGGAGCCTGTAGTCCTGGAGTTCTCTGCAGTGGATAATGGGCCGCACCAAGGTCCCTGATCCTTGTGGATGATAGGCTCCAAGGTCCCCGATCTTCTTTCTTTGTATGTGTGTCTTCATCCTTAATCAAGCATGAACCGGACAGGCTGTCAAAATGAGGACACCATGGATTTTCCCATGGTCAAAGAGGAGACACGCTCACCCTAAGCATTTCCGCAATGCCTTCTTCCATTGCTTGAAACATTCCTCCAGCAACGGCGCATTTAGGGAGTGCCACCAAGGGGTCATGGATTAGGCCCCCTTCTACCATCTTGGATGAACTTCAGAGTTCAATCACACTCTCACCCAGGAGGCGCCGGTTGCATTACTAGGTCCACTCCTGTTCCACCATCAGGCACGCACCACACAAGGTGACCGTCAGTGGCAAACCACACTGGTGGGTGACACAGTTTTACTTACGGCACATGGAAACCTAGCCTTTGATGGCCCTGTGGACCTGGTTTTGGACTCCCGGTAGCCTCTTAACAGATGTTGACCCAGAGCGGATGAAATCCTTCACGTCTCACAAGCCTGGCTCCCAGAAAAGTTTGCACGAAGTTGGGAGGACCCTCCGGTTTCATTGGGAAAGATGCCGTTCACGAACCCTTTTGTTTATAATTGCCTTTAAATAAAGCAAACCTGGGGAGGTTCAGCATATAAATATAAGCTCGTTGGGTTGTTTGCTGCTTATTAAACCTGAACCCCCCTCCCCCCTGGGTCTGGTTAATTAGCCAAAGCCCTGCTGATGAAGGGAGACCCTGCTTAAAGCTTCTGGCTCTGCTTAAAATTGGGCGCAAGGTTTTTGTTGCTGAGCTTAGAGGCTGGGTTGCACTGGTTCCACGCTGCTTCCTTCCACTCACGCTTCAGTAGCCAGAGCAAAGGCAGAATTACCACCCTCAGCATCTCGCTTCGGGGGCCATCTGGCATTCTAGCTGCAGCTAAGAGGGAAAATGTTTGCCCACGGTAATGGGTCATCTCCGACCTACCGTTTCCTAGACAGAGCCTCTGTTTGTTCAACACAAGAACTCAAGTCTTGCCCCCACCCGCTCCCCATCTCCCATCGAGAACCGCCCATTGAACTTTCCTTGCATTTTTACGGCTCTGCGCCATAACAGCCGCCATTGATTCCTTCAGCTGATAAGACCAGTTCATTGGAAGTCCACCTGGCTCGCCCCATCTGTTAGAAACCTCCGTCCGAGTTTCTACGCTCCCTCCTCGGTTCACAGTCAACACAGACCTTGTCAACATCGGGTACTTTCCTGTTTCCTTTCTCAGTAAGTAATGCTCAGAAGCAAAACACGGGCCTCGTGTGCAGGTGCGGTTCCAAGCAGCAAATCATCCTGCCGCCACCTGAAAAGGCTCTCACCTGGCCAGGCCATGTAGTAGGTTGGGCGCTGTGCACCTAAGCAGTATCTGTGCTCCAAAGTGCTTTTCGCTAGCTTAGGCCAGAGTGCCAGCTATAGCTCCTTCTGGACAAGACCCCTCTTACCATTATTTGTGCTCAAATAAAATTTGGGATAGACTACTGCAATATGCTGAGCGTGGAGCTACCTTTGGAGACTATTCAAAACCCTTTTCTTTTCTTTTTAAACAGTTCTCCTATGTTCACAATAGAAGCAGCTTGCTTATTGACCACAGCTTTTGAGAGAGAAGCTTTAAAACAGCTTCACTGACTTTTCCAACTTCTGGTGTCTATTTCTTTGCCCTCTACAAGGGCGCTGGCTCTTTTAGAAACCCGATTCTATTTGCTATGAGCCACTTTAGGAAATTACATTTATCTGAAGAGCGGAATAAAATGAAACATCTTAAGAGGACCACAGCGAGGTCATGAACCTCCCTAGGAGGGAGGGGTGGCTTGGGGCAGAAAGACCAGAATCCTAGAACCATAGATTAGTGAAGTTGGAAGGGGCCTATAAAGCTCGATGCAGGGCGATATAAAATTATAATTTTTTCAGACTATAATTCCATCCTCTCATTGGACATGATGTCCGCGGAATTTTGGAAGTCATCGTCCAAACAGCAAACATTTCCAACGAGAAGTGCTTACTCTGTTTCTGGAGGCTCCTAAATCCTTTTGCTGATTCCAACCTTAAATTAATTCTTGACTGCTGAGTCAATACTTACGTAAATCCCATAGATGAATTAATTCTTGACTGCTGAGTCAAAACTTACGTAAGCCCCATAGATTCAATTGTTCCTCCTAGAAGAGGGGAACTGGAGCAATCAGACCCGGTGCCCTCTTTTCCGAGATCCTGACACCGAGAGACTTCAAACGAACCCCAGGAGCCCCCGAGCCCCCCACGTCTTCGGCACTGAAAAAAAACGGCATAAACACATCTTCTCCAGCTGGTGCTGAATGGCCCGTCAGTCTTGAACCGCTGATTGCAACCTTCAATGAAAACCTTCCAATCTGCAGGGCAGCCTGGCTCCCCAGGAGTAAATAGGGCCGGGGTCAAGGGCCCTACTGGCGAAGCCACCGAAGCAGGAGGAACAGCCATTGTTCCCTGACTGACCTCCTGCAGCTCCCTGCTAGTTAAGTGTTAGCACAGCTAATCATTTCCAGGGCTCAAGGTTTGGCATTTCATTTAACAAAAACCAGTCTTGCCGTGACAAGCTGTGCTTTCCCTATGCAGCATCTTCCAGCTCATAATAACTCAGCTTGTCTCTCAGGCTCTCTTGGTGCGTTATGTGTTATTTGGGTCAGTATGTAACTGTTATTTCCACAAGCGCCCTTGTCGAAGACCAAAAATCCTCTCTCTTTTTCACCCACATCGGCCTCCGCGAAAATTATTTCTCTGTCTGTCATTGTTAGAGCCCTGTTTACCCCTTTAACCATGTCACCCATTTCACTGCTAAACTCTCGGGGTCCAGTTCAATAACAGATTTCCCCTCACCCAAAAATCCTGCTCCAGAAAGATGGGAGAAAAAACCCAAAACCTATCTTTCGTAACTAGTGAAATCCCAGCGCTATCGAGTGTATCATGCTGAATTTAATCCCGCCATTCTCAGCAAGCTCCCATCGACAGGGACCTTAAGGCTCCACAAGACAGAGAGCGTGCTCCAGTGGTCGGTGTCTTGTGTGTGTGTGTGTTTAGTCGTTTAGTCGTGTCCGACTCTTCGTGACCCCATGGACCAGAGCACGCCAGGCCCTCCTGTCTTCTACTGCCTCCCGGAGTTGTGTCAGGTTCATGTTGGTTGCTTCGCAGACACTGTCCAGCCATCTCATCCTCGGTCGTCCCCTTCTCCTCTTGCCATCACACCTTCCTAACATCAAGGTTTTTTCCAAGGACTCTTTTCTTCTCATGAGATGGCCAAAGTACTGAGACCTTAAGGTTCCACAAGACAGACAGCGTGCTCCAGTGGTCGGTGTCTTGAGCGATGAGTAAAGCAGTCTAGATTTAAAATCTTCTTTGTGGAAGAGTTGCGATTCCACAGAAACATCTTAGGCCACAGATGGTCCACAATCAATAGGATTTAGACGCCATGCGGTGTTGTTTCACACTGGACTTTGTAGTGGAATGGGAGACATGGACCCTTGCTTTCCTTCTGCTTAACAGATGTTCTAGCCACCACTCACATGGAATTGGCTATAGCATGCGGGATACGTAGACCCTGATATAAGGCAGATTCACCTTATCTTAGTCTCACCGATATAAACGGGCATGTTTTATTTCGCTCTCGTAAAGGGTGCGATGACAGCACCCACAAAGAGAATGCTATTAAAACAGCCACTCTTGAATGTTGAGGGTTTTTTTTTAAAAAGCCCATCTTTTATATTTATGCAGCTCACAAAACATTAAAAAAATTATTGCATTTTTATTACATTTTTTAAATTAAAAGACCATTTTATTGCATTTTGGAAAGCACTGGCCAATGTAAAAGCAGGGGCATCGTTTAATGCACAGCCTGGCTTTATTCAACCAGAGAGGGACGGAGCGAAAAGGAGAAATGTGTTTTGGGAGGGGGTGGAGGAATCGTATGATGAGTCAGAAAATAAAAGGAGAAAGCAAGCAGGGAGACATGACATAGAGAGAGAGGTAGCCGGCCCGTTCTGGCGTAATACGACACTCAGAGTATAGAGCCGGCGCTAACCAGAACGTCGCAGGGTTTAGGACTTACAGCCTTATACTTTGGCTGCGCTTTTCTCCGTCTGGCGAGGCCTACGTGCGTACATTTTGCTCCTGGCACATAAGGGCACTCAAAATGTGTCACTGCCTATCAAAGCGATGCTGGAAAAGGATGGTTAGAAGTGGGTTTGACAGTTTGCTCTCTGGAATTCTTTACCCATACGAATCATGGTGGTTTGTGAGGCAGCGTGGCGCAGGGTTTAGCGTGTCCGGCTAAGAGTACGGAGATCTGGGTTCAAATGCCCGCTCCGCTAAGAAACCCAACAGATGACCTCGGACCAGTTCCAGGCTCCAAGCCTGGCCTACCTCCTCAGGCTGTTGTGAGGAAGGAGGAGGATCGCGCCACAGACCACATTCAATCCAGACAGGGCACAAATGGAACAAATGAATTTAATAAATGTTGTGGATGAAACTTGAAATTCATCCAAGTTTGCCCTCTTGCTTCCTGCTATGAACAGCCAGAAGCCCCTGAAATGATCAAATGCCAGCAAGAGGATGACCGATCCTCACCTCTGGTGGGTTGTCCTGAGAACTGGGACGGATGCCTCTAATCTACTCCAGTTTAATGTACTGCTCGAAGGAGATTTGAACTCAGCACTGAACTAGTTTGTTCTCTTAAGTCAGATGTGAACGCCTCCACCCTCGAAATTTCTAGCCTACAATCCCCATAATCCCTTCCCAGTCACCATGGTGACTGAATTTCATGGGTCTTGTAGTCCATACCTGACTTTCGGGAATAATGAATTCCAAGTAACCTAGTTACCTGTAACTAATTACTTCTCAGGGCAAGCAGGGTGCAATGAAGTTATATCTCAAAGGTAATATATCAAGCAGGACTTTACTGGAGTAGCAAGCAAGATTTCCCAGTGGCTTCCAAAAATTACTTTGGAAGGGCATTTCTAGGGCGCTCTTAAAAACACTTCTCTCGCATCTCTCTCTTTCTCTCATTCATCTGAAGACGGGAAATAAATTCACAAGCTGGGCTTTTCCGTGGATTTTGTGCCTTTGCTAGTCAAACCACGGTGCAGGCAGGCTGACAAGAAGCCCTCATCAACACAAAGCATTGCTCTCTTCTCTCTAAACTAGCAGGCGCCGTTTATGTCCGGAAACAGATACCGGATTTATGAAGCGTCCTGGGGGAGCGGGAGAAAGGAAAAGAAAACCAGCTATTAGATCGCCTGCTGTGAAACTGGGCGTCCACAATCAGGCTGTCTTTCTCTCTCTAACTCTCTGCAAAATTGAAAGCTACTTATCTCTCTGTTATATAAGCCATGCAAATCCTGGATGTGCAATTACCACGGAATCAATTATAACCCAATCGTCATTTTCACATCAGCCTCCCAGCTGTCCCCACTTCTGGTCTCCAACCCAAAGGAAGTGAGCTAAAGATCTGGTGGCCGAGAGTCCTCTTTTAGGGAGGACAGTCCCTCACCTGAGGGGCTGCCTGAGAACAAACGTTCCTTCTGAAGGTGGCCTTTCTTTGAAGAATCTCACCTCTAGGTCTCCCTCTGTTGTCGTTTACATGCCGTCAAATCACCTCTTGACTTGAAAGGCAATGCCGTTCAGTTTACTAAATTGCAAACACCTCACTATAGATCTGCCCCTTCTGAATCACGACACACCATTTTCTGCAACCAGAATCTTAGATTGTCTTGTAGTGGGTGGGTGTTCATGGCCAACTGACCTAGGGTGTTGAGGTTTGTTTTCAGAACAAGCTCCAAATTTCAAAACACCTCGGGCCTGACCCACGAGAACCATATCCGCTTCAGCCCAAGTCTGCCGTCTTAAGGACTAGAAACCTGAGAGTGAGATTCTGTGCCCGTTTCTTGAAAAAAGATCAGCGGTTTTGCAGATTGCCATCGAAGCCAGGGCTGGCGTTTTCAGCTCGGCCTCTGCCTTTGCCTCCCGCACAAATCCTGCCTCCATCCCCCAACCAAACAAGCGTCGGATGCAGACGCCGACAAAGGCCTGGACGCGTGTGGATCCAGAGGAGGCCACCTGAAAGCCTTCCTCCCCCTGCTTAGGTTACCTCCTCTGCACCGGGAACATCTAAGGACAGCTCCGCATAATGTACAGTACATCACCCATAGTGGATTACCAGCTAGCAAGGGAGGGAACCGAGAAAGGGATGCGTTATCTTGTCACATCAGAGATAAGTGAGGCAAAGCAACCTGTGAGCGACACGCACATATAATCCCCAACGGTTTCTTGCAAACAGAAAATTCTATAGCGCTTAAACAGCGTTTCGCCTTCTGGCCTTAAAAGAGGAATAAAAGCGATGCCTTCTATCCGTTTCACTCCCTGAGAGGAAAAATGAATGGCTTTTGTTCTGCCGGACTGGACGGAGGAACAGCAAGAGGGAAAAAAATATACCCTCAAGCAAAAGAATGATTCTTAAAACTGGCATTGATGGCCGTGTGCCATCACGCCACATTGCATGGCCCGGGTGGGTATTATTGTTAATCATCATCCACGTCGCCAATCACCAATGAGACAGAGATTTCTCTCGGTGTCTCACTTGATCAACACAGCCCATTGACTAAAGGGTGTCTGGGCATCTCTTCCTCAATTAACCACCGGCTTATAAAAATAACACCCCCCTCTTTCACGTAGTCTCTGCAGAAAAGGCCCTGCAAATATGCAGATCTTGAGAATCAAGAAGTGATTTCCCCCCTGTGGCAGTCATTTCGATGGCGTGGGTTCGAATCCCACCGCTGCCACCAACCAATGTGACAACCCCAGACCTACTGGAGTATCCCACCCTGTAGTTATGCTGCCACCAACCATTCCCTGTAAGGAGTCACACAGACCAGGAATGGATTTTAATAAATAAAAGAACAAGGTTTATTGAAACAACAAACAGGGTAAATAAAAGAATCAGGTAAATGGGAAACTGGAACGTGGCACAACCCCAGTCACACACATACAACAGATTGGTTCCCACTGAACCCTGTAAGGTAACGCACAGACCCTGAACCTATCAGTTCTGGCTACCTAGAAAGCCCCCCTCTTGCAACGAGTCTAAGGAGACGAGGAATACTCCTCTTGGCAAGACAGATGCTCCTCCTCTAATGCTGTCTCCGTCCGTATCTCCACAAGGTCATGTTTGGCATCAGCTCCGTGCTAAGACCAGGGGGACGTGGTGGCGTTGTGGGCTAAACCGCAGAAGCCTCTGTGCTGCAGGGTCAGAAGACCAAGCAGTCGTAAGATCGAATCCACGCGACGGAGTGAGCTCCCATCGCTTGTCCCAGCTCCCGCCAACCTAGCGGTTCAAAAGCATGCAAATGCAAGTAGATCAATAGGTACCACCTTGGTGGGAAGGTAACAGCGTTCCGTGTCTAAGTCGCACTGGCCATGTGACCACGGAAGATTGTCTTCGGACAAAACGCTGGCTCTATGGTTTGGAAACGGGGATGAGCACTGCCCCCTAGAGTCGAACACGACTGGACAAAAATTGCCAAGGGGAACCTTTACCTTTACCTTTTACCATGCTAAGATCACCTCTTCCTATATAGGTCATTCCAGTTACAGCGCTTCCCAACCTCGGGTCCCCAGGTGTTCTTGGACTACAACTCCCAGAAGCCTTCGCCACTCGCTGTGCTGCCCGGGATTTCTGGCAGCTGCGGTCCAAGAATCTGGAGACCCCAAGTTAGGAAGTGCAAGCTTTGGCTGGTCACGTTTACACGGAGCTCTCCAAGGTCCTGTTTGCTCTCTGCCTGGACTTTGCCTGGACTCTACCAGTCTTCACCCTTCTTGCTGAGACTCTACCAGATCCGAGCCCCAGGGGGGGCCCTCCCACTTACCAGTTAGTTCGTAGGAAGTTAAGTAACATGATGACAGCTCCCAAGCAGTAACAGGCCACGTAGGGAGAACGGAACATGCGTGTGAGCGACCGGGTCTTGTGCTCCCATCGTGCCACCTGATGGAACAAACACAAATGGAGAGAAAAAGAGAGAGAGGTCAGAAAGACTCCACAAGACATTCAATAATAAATACAGTGATGCCTTGCTTTACAATTGCCCCGCATTATGACAAATCCGCTTTACGACAATCTTTTTGCGATTGCAATTGCTATCGCAAAATAATGGTCTGAATGGGGGAATTTCGCTTTGCGATGAATGGTTCCCTGCTACGGGAACCGATTCTTTGCAAAACGACATTTTTCTAACAGCTGATCGGCGGTTTCAAAATGGCCACTGGGTAATTAAAATGGCTCCCCGCTGTGTTTAGGGACAGATTCCTCGCTATACAGGCAGCGAAAATGGCCGCCGTATGGAGGATCTTCGCTGGACGGTGAGTTTTTACCCCATTGGAATGCATTGAACAGGTTTCAATGCATTTCAGTTGGGTTTTTTATTTCGCTTTACGATGTTTTCGCTTAACGGTGATTTTCCTGGAATGGATTATCGTTGTTAAGCTAGGCACCACTGTATAGACACATGCTGTCAAGTCAATTCTGACTTACAGCAACTCCTTCTAGGGTTTTCCAGGGATGGATTACTATTGCCTTCTTCTGGTGGCACCCTGAGATATGATTGCACTAAAACTCCCAGAAGCCTTCACCACTAATTGAGCTGGCCAGGTGTCCTGGGAGTTGTAGTTCAAGGACATCTGGGGACCTAAGGTTGGGAGCCATGGTCTACACATCAACGTGACTTCATCCCACGGTACATGATGCTCTGCAAGATCAGATCATCAGCGCCTGGATGGGTCTCCCTTGGTCTACAGACCTTGGGAAAAGCCGAAAGCACCACTGGGTACTGGTCAAACACACACACACCGCTTGCCGAGGCTACCAAGCTGGAGCCTGTGGGTCCATCTGATTGCTTGTGTGTTGGGGGAATAAATCAAAACAAATAGCTTTCCCCCACACCACACCACCCCCTTGATTACATGCAGGCACCTCACTCTTCTCCTTGGCTGGTATAAAAATAGTCTGGAAGTTGTAAATTCAATTTTCCAAAAAAACCCACAAAAACAGATGGTTATGCGTCAGCAGAGGGTGATAATCTGCGCTCTGGGCAAGGGGCGCAGGGCAAGTCTAGGTTGCCGTTCCTTGCAATGATGCCAGGACTGGTTCCCCAGCAGGTCGCTGGGTCTGAGTCATGGAGGGAAGAAGGCTGATGATCAGATCTCCAGGCCAAAAAAGCAAACAAACCACACAACAGAACAAAACAAAACACAGCCCTTGACGGATACCCTTTCATTGACATGGAACCGTTGGCTTGGGATGCTTCTGACACTCTACATCCTTTCCTTCATATAATAAAGAAGTCGGACCCAGAGGGACCCACGCTGCATAAGATATATTGCTTGATATTGGGGGGAAAAAAGCTTTAAAGAGGCAGGAAGTTATAGAGCCGAAGGAAGGCATCAGAGCTAGGAAATCTGGATTCAAGTCTTCCTTCAGCCTCTCGCCTTTTCTTTCTTGGTTTCCTCTTTAAGGGCAAGTTTCTAGTCCTTATGGATGACTGCAAAGAAATGCTTAAAAGCATGTACAGTGGTGCCTCGCTTAACAACAATAATCCATTCCAAGAAAATTGCCATTAAGCGAAAACATCATAAAGCGAAAATAAAACCCCCATTGAAACACACTGAAACCCGTTCAATGCGTTCTAATGGGGTAAAAACTCACCGTCCAGCGAAGAGCCTCCATACAGCGGCCATTTTCGCTGGCTGTATAGTGAGGAATCCGTCCCTAAACACAGCGGGGGGCCATTTTAATCACCCGACGGCCATTTTGAAACTGCTGATCAGCTGTTAAAAAACATCATTTTGCGAAGAATCGGTTCCCAAAGCAGGGAACCAACCGTCGCAAAGCGAAATTCCCCCATTCAGACCATCGTTTTGCTATCGCAATTGTGATCGCAAAAAGATCGTCGTTAAGTGGATTCGTCGTAATGCGGGGCAAACGTAAAGTGAGGCACCACTGTAGATAATGTCCCCCAAAGGACCTGAGGTGATGCACATACAGAACCCTCTGGGTGGAATGTTCAGTCATGGGTAGCTTGGAGGGCTTCTTTAAAGTTCAGACCACAACCTGGGAGGGATTTCAAAAAAATAAAATTTCCAAGCTTGGAAGCAGAGGCATTACTTGGCAATGCGGACATCAACAAGGAACTTATCGCAGCCCACTCAACCGTCTCGTGTAGTTTTGCAAGCTTCCTGCAAGGAAGAGGCGAAATATGCACCGTTCCCAGCTGCACGGAGTAAAGGGAAGCATGATGTGACCAGCATGTGTATATTTTGATTTGATTCCCACCACCACGTTCGACTTGAAATGCTTACCGTCATGGCTGCCAAACGTTACAGAAAGCTCCACGTGGCCATAGCTTCTCCCTCCTCCCTGTCTTCTTTCAAAGCTCCTTGACCTCTTCCGTTTAATCAGCCGTAAAGGCCACGGATGGCTTTTGCACACTCAACAGACCGCCGTTCATTCATATTTAGTGTTTGTTCCAGGGAGAAGAGTATTCTCTTTCGCTCTCATCCCAGGAGGCCTGACTTTTAAACCTGCTGCATTTTAATCGCCGTGACCCTGGCTTTGAAACCTGGCTCCGGTTCTATTTTATGCCATTCCATTTTTATCTCTGGCTTACCGCAAACATGAGGCGTAACGCCAAATTCAGATATGCCCAGGCCTGGAAGACTGCTCCTGTTCCTCGGCTTTATTCTGTCTGTCTAGAGCCTTACATGGCCCCAAACATCCAAATGCAGAAGCCATTGTTGTCTTTACAGTCATACAGTTTCTATACAATACTGTATATTCTATGCAACCTTTGAGGTTACATCCTCTATACAATATACAGGGGTAGAGAGCTACGCTTTCAAAAATCAGCCACAGCTCCGTCCGGTGAAAGAAATCAGCAGGGCCAAAAGAACAAGAACACACAATTTACACAAACCATACAGGTTTTCTCAGATGTAAAAAAAATGTTCCATTTGCTAGAGCTTACTTCCTAAATGAAGTACGTTTAGGACTATAGCCTTTGACAAGGAATGAGTTTTGAAACATTTTGATCAAGGACAACGATTATACACCTTCGCAAATTCAGTGGTTACGTTGGAGGAGAGATTCTGGATGTTTTAGTTGAGAAATGAAACCCTTCCAGGCTCTAAACCTTAAGGAACAGGAGCACGGATGTTTGTGCTAGGCAAAAAGGGGCGCCCTTTTGAATCACAATCCTTGACCCCAAACAAGAATTTGGTAAAGTCGTGGTTCTGCGATCGAGGTTTTGGGATCTCTAGGTTTACAAACATGACACACACACACCCACAAGGTACAGACAAATAGAGAGGAAGGGAAAAAATGCCTTTCTGGTGACAGCAGCTGGACAGATGTTGGGTGTGCACTCCAGATGTTGCCTCCATCTCTCATAACTGGAGGGAAGAAAGAGTTATGTTTTGAGCCAACAGTTCCAAGGACATCCCCGCCCCCCCAACCTGTGTGCATCACAAGAGGAGACACTGAAGTCAGGAACATGTTCCCGGATCACACGGTCTCCGATCAACAGGCATCGACCTTCACAGAACGACTTCCCTGCAACAGATTGATTTTTTTCCCCTCCCGCCAGAGACACAACTGGTTTGGCAGGTGGGCTTCTCATGCGGCTCCTGTAGAGAAGAAAGAGGATGAGCCCAATGCAAAACGGCCTCTACAGCCCCGGTTTACAAAACACTCCACACCTTCCCAGGGAGAAAACTCTGCTGGGGGTCAAATTCACATCTCAGCCACGTTAGGGGTTCTTCACTGCTGTTTTAAGTTGGCGTTTGGACGGAGAGGGATGAAACACAAATTCAGATCCCCTCCTCAGCTCGCTGGATGGCCTGAGCGAAGATCTGGTTTCTCAGCCCAAGTTACCCCGTAGGTTTGTTGTGAGGCCAAAAACAAGCTCCTTGGAGGAAGATACTGTTTAGGATCGCCCAAGGCTGGCTGGACAGCTCAGTGGTTTAGGTCTCTGCCTGTGGATCCAGAGGACGGGGGGTTCGATTCCCCCACTGTGCATCTCCCGGGAGAAGAGCCAGCCTGGGTGGCCTTGGGCCAGCTGCACCATCCCAGGGATGCCCCGCAGAAGAAGGGAAATGTGAACGACATCTGAGTATTCTCTACCTGGAAAACCCTGGAAAGGGGGTCCATAAGTCAAAATTCATTGGACGGCACACAACAACAACAACAACAACAACAACAACAACGATCACCAAGGAAGGCAAGTGCTGCACTGGGGAAGGGCTGAAAGTCAAAGCTACAACCTGATCATCAGTTCAATACATGTCTGAAAACACGGAGGGCCACAGCTGCCTGTCAGAGCCCTTCATACTGGGTTAGATCAACCAAGAGTCTGACACAGCCGACAGCAGCTGCTGAAGTTCCTCGTGAACATGGCCATCCTTGGCCCTTGATTATACCCCCAAATGTTAGAGGAGTACTGAAGCCGGGCCTGGCCAAAGGGACACGGAGCCCACCATCCTCTTCTCCGTGGAGGGCAACCCAATGACTTCAAGAAGCCAACCAAGTTATAGGTTCTCTGCAAGGTTTGCTCTCCAGAAACTGGCAACCTCAAGCTTGGATGCTCCTTCTGTCAACTACAAAGCCCAGCTTCTTACAATTGCATGGGGATTCTGGGAGAAGCCGCCCCCCCCCTCCCGAGGGACTTTTCTCAAGCCGTCAACAGGACCCTGCTCCTGAACCAGGAAGTCCTATGTAGGACTGATAGCCATGGACGGATGTATCTTCAGCATGAACTTTTGTACTGGACATGAACCTGGTCACTGAAGTTGATTCCTGGGGAGATGAAAGTTTGGAGGCAATAGGTTTCGAATCCTGCGTGCCACAGATGTTCTCAATTTGGCCTCAATCCAATGGGCCACCTCACCCATGGGTATACCCACTCAATTAATGGGATTTGTTTCAGTTGTCATCCA